CATGAAATTATGTTTATTTTTAGCAACTGCATGTTATTACATTTTATGGATATAATAAATACAATTTTTGATCCTTGCCCTTTTAATGGACGTTTGGATTGTTTCTGTTTGTAAGATATTGGTCTTATGCACATGTGTAACTGTCCTTTGAAAGTATATGTCTGGAAAGAAAAATGCCAGCTTATAGGTATGAAGTTCTTTATCTTTACCAGATATTATCAAATAAATTTCAAAGGGTTTGTGCTAATTTACAAGCAACAGTAATGGATAAGCATTCTCTTTTCCACATTTCCCTTTCAAAATAGGCTTGGTTGGTCGAGTGAGAAATCAACAAGCGATATCCAGATATCAATTTATGAGAAGGAAGCATCCAGGTATCTTTTGTTATCATCTGAGTAATGTAAACATTTTGTTATCATCTGAGTAATGTAAACATCTGAGTAATATGTGTTTGTTTTCCTATCTTCCTATCATGCTATATCACATCAGAATAACTAACAGCAATTTTTATAAATATCTGGTTTAAAAGTAATTCTATAGGTAAGAAGTGGTTCACAAATGAACTATAATCCTATAGAATATTAAAGTAATATGCAAATTAACCATCACTCCGCAACAAAAATGCCAGCCCCCATAGCCACAAAATGGCAGGGTCAAGCCCCCTCAGGCTTGCTGCTGGAGTGTCCGGCCTGTCCACAGGAGCAGTGAGGCTGGATCTGCGTCCAGAGGGGGCAGATCCAGCCTCCCAGCTCTACCACTGCTGCAGTGTCTGGGCCTGTCAGTCCCACCGAGGTTGTGGGGGACCAAGCAGTAAAGCTTGATCAACCCCCAGACATGGCAGATAGAGCCTGGATATCAGGGCATAGAGGCTTCCTTAGCCAGGAGGCAATGGGAGCACCCCCAGGCTCGGCAGTCAGAGCTTAAACAGCAGGACATGGTGGCTTTGTTTGGAGGGTGATGGTGGGGGAAGCCCCAGCCCAGCAAACAGAGTCAGGACAGCAGGGTTTGGAGACCTCCTTAGCATGGTGGTGATGGGAGCACTGCCAGGCTCAGCAGTCAGAGCCCAGAGAGCAAGGATTGGGAGTTTCTTTAGCACAGTGGCAGCAGGGAAGCTCCAGGCCCCCCAAACAGAACCCAGGTGCTTGGGAGCTTCCTTAGAGGAGAGGCAGTGGGAACACTCCCACGCCCAGCAGACAGAGCCCAGACAACAGGGTATGGGGCCTTCCTTAGTGTGCTGATGTCAGCAAAGCCCCTAAGCCTGGCAGACAGAGCACACTGCAGGGCATTGGGGCTTCCTTTGCATGGTGCATGATAGAGGCAGGCAGAGAGTGGAGAGAAGGGCATGAGGGATTCATCTCCAGGACTGCAGCAAAACCTCCAGGCCCACAGAGAGCAGAGAACCATGGGGAGTGGGCCTAAGCCATCAGTAGGACATCCTCTGAGAGCTCCTGGATTGTATAGGGTGCAGGTTGGGCTGAGGGACCTTCATGCATGAATTTCATGCACCGGGCCTCTAGTTTAGTGATAAAATAACTCCTTTCATTCAGTGAATCTAATGGCCTGACCTCTTAAAATGTGAACCACAGACATGCAGTATGCATAAATATTACCTCTGAATTTATAGTTTCTTGAATTAAATTTGTTATGAAACAACACAGATATGTATAAAGAAATTAATGAAGAAAATAAAACAAATCTAGGGAGATAATATTGTTTTTATTTGTTGTTTATTGATTAAAGTATTACATGTGTGTCATTATCTTCCCATTTTCCCCCACCTACATCCCCACTCATGCCCTCACCTCCCTGGTGTCTATACCCATTGGTTAGGCTTATATGCATGCATATAACCTTTGGTTATAACTACATTATTAGATATTAAATATCCAATCCCTTAATGTAGATGTGGAAGTTTCTTCCCTGGAAATGTGCAGCTCTTGCAATCATTTATCACACTGTGCAAACTGCCTATCAGAATGCATTTTTTAAAACTATTTTATTCAAACCTATTAGAAGCCCAGTGCATCAAATTTGTGCACTCGGGGGCAGGGGGTTCCCTCAGCCTGGCCTGAGCCCTCTTGCAGTGGGGAGTCTGGGAGCCTTCCAGGGATGTCCAACTGAAGCTGGCAGTCGAACATCCTTAGTGCTGCTGTGGAGGCAGGAGGGCAGCACTTCCCCTGTGGGAGCACACTGATCACCAGGGGGCAGCTCCTGCATTGAGTGTCTGTGCTCAGCATAGTGACTGGTCATTCTGCCATTTGCCAAAACCACCTCTCTATCATCTCCCGAAGGAGTCCCAGATTTCAAGAGGGCACAGGCCAGGCCAAGGGCCCCCTCTGGTGTATGATTAGGGCCAGGGAGTGACTGTGGGAGGACTCCAAGGTGTGCCTGGCCCATCTCACTTAGTTTTGATCAGCCAGACCCCAGCAGCAAGCTAGCCTATCGATTGGAGCGTCTGCCCCCTGGTGGTCAGTGCTCATCATAGGAAGCAGTTAAGCAGCGTTAGCATATCATTAGCATATTATGCTTTTATTGGTTGAATGGCCAACTGGACGACTGGACACTTAGCATATTAGGCTTTTATTAATAGGATTCTTTTGCTACAGTGCTTCATTCATTCATTCAATAAGCATGTAATAACTTTTTACTATAAGCATTATAGAGCATACCACCTCCACACTTGGGGAACATGTACTCCAGAGGAGTATCAAAATAAAGGGATGCGATATTTTTATTTTTAAAAACTAGGTTACAATCCCTTAAGAATGCAATAATAATGTAAGTCATTCTCTCTTTGTAAAGCAAAACTAATTAGGACCAGTAATTCATCTTTCAAATGAGCAAATTTTGTTTCACACATACATGTCTAATTTCCTTTCTTCTATTTCTTTAAACAGAAAAATAATTATTAAGATATTCTTTCTTAAATAATGAAGGATAGTAAACCAGATCATGCTTCTTAGCTGTTAGAAAGAGATGAATTTCTTATTCCTCTTTTTCTGCCTATTTAACAAGATATTGATTTTTTTTAATTGAAAAAAATGAAAATAATCCTGGATACAGAGAAAAAGAATCTGAGGAACTAAGACAAACTAGTTCTGGAGCAAATATATCAATAGTGGTTCCAATTTTCCAAGATAATATGGAAAAGTCTCCTAATTAGAGTCCTCTGTACAGATCCAAGGGATAATGGTATCCCATAATCAATATTTGTAAAGCCCACTGCAGAAGCAAAAGTTTAGTTTATATATGAAAGTTCTTTTTAAATTTTCAGCCTTATACATTTTCTTTAGGTAAGACACTAAGTTTAATGAAATTCTTTGAAGTAATCTGTCTTTACAGTGCTCTGTCTTCTGGCATTTGCCTGATTTATTATGCATAATGTAAACTTTTTTTTATGGCTCCTAATGATATTTTCCTTTAAAGTGTCTAAAAGAAGAGGGAATATTCTGAGAGGTTCTGACTTATTCTAAACTATATTACTAGAAAAAGTGACATAAATTATTTGCAAAAACATTACAGACTATAACATATCAACAACTCTTTATTTAGATATTCTAAGTGCATAGAATATTTTTAAATATATTTTATTGATTTTTTACAGAGAAGAAGGGAGAGAGATTGAGAGCTAGAAACATCGATGAGAGAGAGACATCAACCAGCTGCCTCCTGCACCCAGGAGGATGTGCCCGCAACCAAAGTACATGCCCTTGACCGGAATCGAACCTGGGACCTTTCAGTCCGCAGGCTGACACTCTATCCACTGAGCCAAACCAGCTTCGGCAGGGTATAGAATATTATCTGCATATCCGAAGAGAGAGAAGAGAGAAGGAGAAGGAAATACGATATCTATATCTATCCATCTATCTATCTACCTATCTATCTATTTATCATCTATCATCATCATCTATCTAAAGAAGAAATTGGAGCTATATTGAGAGTGAAGATTAAGAAGACAATAAAAATCTTCAGAGACCCCAATGTTCTCCACCAAGAACTATTTTATCATTTTGAAAATCTCTATTTATACCATTATTTTATTTTCAGATGTTAGCTTTTTATGTAGGTATGTTCCATGTATAAACATTTTGAAGCCTCTTACAAAATATTTACACCACTTGTCATCTATTTACATATTTTAAGAGCAACTTTTCTAACAAACAAAATTAAATTTATGAAGTTATGAAATTTTTCTAAAAATTTACTCTATTATCACAAAACAAATAAAGATAAACAATATTTTAAAAACAAAATTAAAATTTCATTTCAGTTAAGACCACTTTTTGGCATTTTGCTCATTTATTCTGCCTTTTTTTTAATAGCATCAGCATCACATTACTATTTTATATTGCATATATGTAGCACTTGCCTTAAGTTTTCAACATGTCATTTGTAATTAAAGGTAGACACTGAGTCAATATGAACAACAGATTAACTAAACTGCACTGTAATTTAGGTAAAATTGCTGTGTCACTGTATATTACATGCAAAATCCACTTAAGTTGGCATTTAACCAACAGTACTGCATGAACAAATAATTCAATATTTTCATACCTGAAAACTGTATCATAAATTCAACATTGCCATGTGAAAACTACATAAGTCTTTCTCCTGTAAAATGATACTGTTTAGTTTATTTATTTATTTTTATTTTTTAATATTTTTTATTGATTTTTTATAGAGAGGAAGAGAGAGGGATAGAGAGTCAGAAACATCGATGAGAGAGAATCATCAATCAGCTGCCTCTTGCACACTCCCTACTGGGGATGTCCTGCAACCAAGTACATGCCCTTGACTGGAATCGAACCCGGGACCTTTCAGTCCACAGGCTGACACTCTATCCACTGAGCCAAACCGGTTTTGGCCTGTTTAGTTTAAGAGGTTTAACTTTCATATATTTTAACTATATTTAAGGTCTTGAGTTCAAAATCATATAAAACTCTTTCATATTTAAAATAAACAATCCCAGTTTAATCAGTGCATTAAATTTTCTTTTTAAGTTCACTTGAATGATAATTATCTTTTCTATTAAAGTAATGAATTTGATAAGATTTTTAAAGGTATCTTACAACAAAATTCTAACTGTAAATGTATTCATGGTAATTTTCAAATTCCTTATGATTTCTCCCCTAAAGAATCTTAGAAAATTTGTAATAAAATTATAAAGCTGACTTGCATATTTACAAAATTTTGAATATCAAATATAGGCAACTCATAAAAACAAACAAACAACAAAAAACAAACACTTATTTGTTCAATGGATATTTGTGAATTGCCAGGTACACTGCATACCTTTAAGGAATTATTCTATTATTGAAAACAACTTGATGTCAAGTAAAATCTTGACATTCAATCCAGCCTTCTTTCTGTGCCTTCCCACTGACTTGTTTACTAAACACTGCCACATTAAATGATGGTGCTTAAGCAAAAATGCTGCAAACACGCATTACATCCCCATCCTCCTACCCACACTGAGATGTGCTGCCTGCCATGAGATGAAATCTGCTAAGTCATATACATTATAGCAAGCATTCCAGATTCCTAAAAGGACCAAATACTTTGGCATTAATACAATTTACTCTCTGTTTTCTCAAATATACAAAATATACTATACATTTCCACTTTTTTGAGTGCTCTCTCTCTCTCATATATATATATATATATTTTAGTTTGTAATTAAAATTTTTCCAAGTGAACTACAGACCATCAGTGTGATTGCATGAACACGCAGGTCCTTTCAGCAGCTCAGTTCTGGCACCTCTTCAGGTGCAAGGTCAGGCGGTCTGGAGTGGGAGAAGCTGCGGTTGCACACCCCGAACTGGAATGTTTTGGTCCTGGTATTCTTCTGGTAGTGGCACATCAGCTCATTAGAGCATGCGAACCTCTCAGGTCCATTGTACAGCTTCTCACTAGTATGAGTCCTCAAGTGAGCTTTTAAATGAGAAGAGTTTGTATAAACTTTTGTGCAGCTAGGGTAATCACAGTAGTGGATGGATCATTTCTCCATTTGGGGTTACTCCTTCTGTTGTATCTGACAGGTTGGATGTTTTGCAAATTAAAAGGTAGGGTTGCAGGTAAATTTAGATTGTGAATTGCCAGTTAAAAAAAAAAAGTAATTGTAGCAGCATAGAATGGAAATGGGGTTGAATCCAGGAGCATCTCTGCTTGTCTATCTGGACTTTCATGCTCTGAGCTGTACAATGAACCTGTAGGCCTGATCCTGCCCCAACTGCCCTCCTCTGCTGGCCAATTTGGTTCTGATAGGTTGGTTTCTATGCCAGTCAGTGTCAAAAGCTCCTCCTCCTAGGCAGCCATAGGCTCCTCACAGTTGACCCAGATTTTTTTTGTTTGTTTGTTTTTTATTGTTTTTTTGTTTTGTTTTGTTTTTTGGAGAAGGGGGAATGTGAGCTGTTTATTAAGTGGTTATTATAGGTCTCAGACCACATAAGTGGTGTCTGACCCAAGAATGTAACCTGTCAATGTTGAATACAATGCCTCAAGGCTGGTCCTGGTGAGCCCCAAGGTCAGTAATGAAACTGAATACCTTCAGTCACATACTGCTTCCAGGTATCCAGGCTGGGCAGCAGGGATGAGATGCCCATGACATGCCAGGTCTCATCAGACACCACTGAGATCTGGTAGGATTGCAGCTGCATGTCTGCCTCTGCCAGGAGCCAAATCATGGTAGGCAACATGGCATGGTTGGAAGGCTGAGTCCAGAACAGGAGCGGGGGTAGACCCCTGCAGAGAGGCACTTCTGCTCTGAAGGCAGCACTGTTGAGTGCCTGTGGCACAGGTGTGGTGTCCTGAACAAAGCCCACAGCTTGGTAGGGGGCATCAGCCAAGGCCATGCTCAGGAAGCCTTCTCTGCAACCTTCTTTTTCTGGCACAGTGGGGTTATGGGAGGTGGTTAAATTGAGGCCAGCCTCCTTCAACATCAGTTTGGCATTCACTAAATTCACATCATCATGATTAGAAAAGTCTTTGAGGAGACCAACAATGACTGTGGAGCTCAGACAGTTCCTGACATTCTTCAGGGATAAGCCCTGCATCACCACTTGGATGGTCCCTTTGGGGGACCCTGCCCACACTCTCATCAGAGTTCCCAGAGCTTTTGCCAGCCTGATCCAAGGTTTGGTGTGCAGAGAGAAGGTGCTGGTAAGGTCTTGGGCATTCATGATTCCCCAGCGAGGGCTCTCCTCTTCACCATGTCCACAAACTGGACAGCGATCTCCTTGGTGCTGGTGCTCATGTTGGAATAGCTGATTATGTTCTCATGGTCTACCAAGGGCTCTGTCCCAAGGAGGCTCCTGTGTGAACAAGACCAGCGCTGCGCCTGCGCACTGCCCGGACTGAAGGGCCCAGAGCAGGATGCCCTCATCCATGATCCCTCTGTGGGTGCAGTTCAGCATGTGCACTCCCTTCTTGCACAGGGCAAAAGTGCTATCATTCAGCAGGCCTGTCGTGGAGGGCAGGAGAGGGGTGTGCACAGTGATGAAGTCACAGAGGGACCAGATATCCTAGAGAGGCAGCTTCTGAATACTGAAGAAGGCCAAGACCTCTCTTGAGATGATGGACATACCTTACAGTCTTCATCCTGAAAGACTGCATCCAGATGGCCACCTCTCTAGATCTTCCCTAGGCCAAGAATTCCCAGGATCTTTCCATTCAACTCAGTTCCCATGAACTTCTTTTGGTCCCATTTGTCATCCTTCATTAAAGCCATCTCCTGGGGAATCTATCTGGCCAGACACATGATCATCACACTGGTGAGCTCTGCAGCACTAATATTGTTCCCACTGAGAATGTTAATGACCAGGATGCCCTTCCTTGTGGCAGCCTCCAGATCCACATTGTCCATGCTGGTGCCAGCCCTGCCCACCACCTGGAGCTTTTCTGCTGCGCTGATGACACCCACAGTCATCTTGGTGGCTGAGCAAAGGATAAGGCCTTTGTAATCTTTCAGCTTGGCTATCAGTTCCTCTTTGCTCAGGTTCTGCTTCTTTACCACCTGCAGCCCTCCATCTTGCAGGATCTTCTGGCAGCAAGGGTCCAGGCTGTAACTGATGACCATTTTCTGTAGATTTGAAAAGCCATTGCTGGAGCTGGCCTCGGGATCCACTGGAGCCAGCCTTGGGATGGACCACTCTCCCTGGACAGAAACACATCTAAGCCCCAGATTTGGTTCTGGTTGGTCAGTTTCTATGCCAGTCAGTGTCTCTGGGCCTATCAATGGGGTCTGATCAGAAAGGCGGGCCTGATTAGCAGCTCCAGTGGAGTCCTGGAGAGAAATGGAGGTATGGCTGCTGGTTAGATTGGAAGAGAAAGAGAAAGGCAAGTGCTGGTCAAAAACTGCCACAGAGGCAATGGATCAGTCTTTGATTCTCTCTTCAGGTCTATCTCTGGCCCTGATTCATAGCCCACTCAGCAATCAGTGCTGGGACATTGGGCCTGCAGAGGAAATAATGCCATGACAACCCAGGACTTACTTCTGGTCTGTTAGAGCTTTGGTCAAAATGAGATAATAGAGATAATAAAAGAGTAATATGCTAATTAGACAAGACATTCTTCCAGATAATCTTCTGGACAAAGCCACAGCAGCAGGGGTGAGACAGAGGCAGCTGCTGCAGCAGCAGGGGCCAACACTCTTGCACAAATTTTGTGCATAGGCCCTCTAGTTTTGTCTATAAGCAAATGTCTGAACTGAGAAAAATGAATAAGATTTAGGATCTTGTTCCTAACTTTAAGTTAAAGTCAATAGTGATTTGCACAAGGTATACTATTATATTTTTGGCATAACTATAATAATTCTTTGTTTCCTTAAAGTGAGGTCCATTTAAGTATTATATTTTGTTGCTTTTATTTTTTTTATTAAATTATTATCTGTGTACATATTTTAACATTGCCCCCCCTCCCATACATACCCTCCCTCCCCAGAGTTTTGTGTCCATTGGTTGTAGTTATATGCATGTATACAATACAAGTCCTTCAGTTGATCTCTTATCTCCCTCAAATCTCTCTATCCTCCCCGCTGTAATATGACAGTCTGTTTGTTGCTTTACTGTCTTTATATCTACCTTTTGGTTCATCAGTTTATAATGTTCTTTATTATCCATAAATGAGTGAGGTCATGTGGTATTTCTCTTTCATTGACTGGCTTATTTCAATAAGCATGATGTTCTCCAATTTTATCCAGGTTGCTGCAAATGATGAGAATTCCTTCTTTTTTATGGCAGCATAGTATTCTATTGTGTAGATGTACCATAGTTTTTGGATTCAATCATCTGTTGATGGGCACCTAGGCTGTTTCTAAATTCTAGCTATTATAGATTGTGCTGCTATGAACATAGGGGTGCATATATCCTTTCTGATTGGTGTTTCTAGTTTCTTGGGATATATTACTAGGAGTGGGATTACTGGATGAAATGGGAGTTCCATTTTCAGTTTTTTGAGGAAACTCCATACTGTTCTCCACAGTGGTTGCACCAGTCTGCATTCCTACCAGCAGTGCACGAGGGTTCCTTTTTCTCGGCAACATCGCCAACACTTGTCGTTTGTTGATTTGTTGATGTTGGCTATTCAACTGGATGCCTCTAGTATTTTTATGGTTTCCCATCTTATGTTTAAGTCCTGTATCTATTTTGAGTTTATTTTTGTGTATGGTGTAAGTTGGTGATCTAGTTTCACTCTTTTGCATGTATCTGTCCAATTTTCCCAACACCATTTATTGAAGAGACTGTCTTGACTCCATTGTATATTCGTGCCTCCTTTATCAAATATTAATTGGGCATAGTGATTTGGGTTGATATATGGGTTCTTGATTCTATTCCATTGATCTAAGTGTCTATTCTTGTGCAAGTACCAGGCTGTTTTGAGAACAGTGGCTTTGTAATACAGCTTGAAGTCTGGTATTGAGATTCCCTCCTACTTTACTCTTCTTTCTCAGGATTGCTGTGGCTATTCAGGGTCTTTTATTGTTCCAAATGAACTTTTGAAGAATTTTTTCTAGGTCAGTGAAATATGCTGTTGGTATTTTAATGGGGAGTGCATTGAACCTATAGATTGCTTTAGGAAGTATGGACATTTTGATGATGTTGATTCTACCAATCCATGAACATGGTATGTTCTTCCATCTGTTTACATCTTCCTCTCTTTTTTCAGTGTCCTGTAGTTTTCCATTTATAGGTCCTTTATTTCCTTAGTTAAGTTTATACCTAGGTATCTTAATTTTTTTTGTGCGATGGTAAATGGAATTGCTTTTTTATTCTCTGTTTCTGTAAGTTCACAATTGGTGTATAGAAATGCCATAGATTTCTTGGCATTAATTTTTTATCCAGCTACATTGCCAAATTCATTTATTAAGTCAATTAGTTTTTTAATGGAGTCTTTTGTGGTTTTTTTTTTTAATGTACAATAGCAAATAAGATGTGGATGCCTTTTATTTCCTCTTCTTGTCTAACTGCAATGGATAGTACTTCCAGTATTATGTCAAAGAGGAGTGGCCATAGTGGGCATCCCTGTCTTGTTCCTGTTCTTAGAGGGAATGGTTTTAGTTTTTGCCCATTGAGTATGATGTTGGCTGTGGGTTTATCATATATAGCTTTTATTATGTTGAGGTATGATCCTTGTACTCTCACCTTGTTGAGAGTTTTTATCAGGAAAGGGTGTTGGATTTTATAAAAGGCCTTTTCTGCATCAATCGATATGACTACCGTATTTTAAGACGACCCCCTAATTTTACAGTTAAAACATAGGTGTAGGCCTATATTCACTGTATAAGACTACCTCCCACTTCAAAAAAAAAAGACTTACTTTGCCGTCAAGATCTGCAGGTAATTTTTGTGCAATTTTGGTCTTTTGCCCCAGATTTTCGGTTGACTTTTTTTTTTTCTTTTCAAAAGTCGTCTTATACACCAGAAAATACGGTATATGATTTTTATCTTTCAATTTATTTATGTGATGTATCACATTTATTGATTTGAAGATATTGTACCATCCTTGCATTCCTGGAATAAATCCTACTTGGTCGTGGTGTATGATCTTTGTGATGTTCTGCTGGAGCCGATTTGCTAGAATTTTTTGAGGATTTTGGCATCTATGTTCATAAGGGATATTGGCCTGTACATCTCTTTCACTGAGTTGTCTTTATCTGGTTTTGGTATCAGGGTGATGCTGGCTTCATAGAAGAAGTTTGGAAGTGTTCCTTCCTCTTAAATTTTTTGAAATAATCTGAGGAGGATAGATTTTAGTTCTTCCTTGAATGTTTGTTAAAACTCTCTGTGAAGTCATCTGTCCCTGGGCTTTTGTTTGCTGGAAGCTTTTTGATGACTGTTTCAATTTCTTCCCAAGTCACTGTTCTATTGAAATATTTAGATTCTTCCAGATTGAGTTTTGGAAGGTTGTATTTTTCTAGGAATATGTCCATTTCCTCCAGGTTGTTCAGTTTGTTGGAATAGAGTTGTTAGTAGTATTTTGTAACAATCCTTTGTATTTTGGTGGGTTCTGTTATTTCGCCTCTTTTGTTTTTGATTTTGTTTATTTGGGTCCTCTCTCTTTGTTTCTTGGTTAGCCTGGATAGAGGTTCATCTATTTTGTTTATCCTTTCAAAGAACCAACTCTTGGTTTTGTTGATCTTATGTATTGTTTCTTTGGTCTCTATGTCCTTTATCTCCACTCTGATTTTTGTTATTTCCTTCCTTCTGCCTTCTGCTTGCACTGGGCTTTTTTGTTGCTCTTTTTTTTTTTTTTTACTCTTTGAGTTGTAGAGTTAGATCATTTGTTACCTTTTTTTCTTGTTTTTTTTGCAATAGGCTTGTAGGGGTATGAACTTCCCTCTCAAAACTGCTTTTGCTCTGTCCCATAGATTTTTGATTGTTGTGTTTTCATTGTAATTTGTTTCCAGGATGTTTTTAATTTCTTCTTTGATTTTTCTGGTAACCCAGCCCTTGTTTAATAGCATCCTGTATAGTCTCCATGTATTTGATTTCTTTAGATTATTTTTATTGTAGTTAATTTCCTGTTTTATGCCACTGTGACCTGAGAAGATGCTTGATATGATTTCTATCTTCTTGAATTTGAAGAGACTTTGCCTATGTCCCAAAATGTGGTCTATCTTTGAGAATGTCCCATGTGCGCTTGAGAAGAATGTATTGTATATTCTGTGGCTTTGGGGTGGAATGTTCTGAAGATGTTGATTAATTCCATCTGGTCTAGGGAGTCATTTAAGATTGATATTTCTTTGCTGATTTTTTGTTTAGATGATTTGTCAAAAGGTGACAGTGGGGTATTAAAATCTCCTACTATGATTGTACTGCTATTAATCTCTCCATTAATGTCCTCCAGCAGTTTTGTTATGTATTTGGGTGCTCTCGTATTGGGTGCATATATTAATATATTTACCAGGGTTATTTCTTCTTATTGGATTGCTCCCTTTAGTATTATGAAGTGGCCTTCACTATTTCTTGTTATGTCCTTCACTCTGAGATCTAATTTTTCAGATATAAGTATTGCTACCCCGGTTTTTTTTTTTTTTTTTTTTTCATTTCCATTCACCTGGAAAACCTTTTTCCATCCCTTCAGTCTGTGTGCATCTTTTTTTCTGAGGTGGTTTCTTGTAGACAACAGATATATGGGTCTTGTTTTCTTTTCCAATCTGTTACCCTATGTCTTTTGATTGGAGCATTTAATCCATTTACATTTAAAGTTATTATTGATAGGTACTAATATGACGCCATTTTTATTCAAACCCCTGTGTTCCTTCTTCACTTCCTATTTCTTTATTTTTACAGTAGACCCTTTAGCATTTCTTGCATTGCTGGTTTGGTGGAGATAAATTCCTTTAGTCTTTTTTTGTTTGTGAAGCTCCTGATTTCCTCTTCAATTTTGATTGATAGCCTTGTGGGTACAGTATTCTTGGATTCAGACCCTTCCTTTGCATGACTTTGTATATTTCATCCCATTCCCTTCTGGCCTGATGAGTTTCTGTGGAGAAATCAGTTGCTAGCCTGATGGGGATTCCTTTATATGTAACTTTCTGTCTCTCTCTGGTTACTTTGTTGTTGGTGTTTGCCAATTTAATTATAATATGCCTTGGTGTCTGTCTTCTGGGATTCATTTTGCTTGGGACTGTGAGCATCTTGGATTTGTGTGGGTTTTTTCTTCTCTCAGGAAAGTTTTCTGTCATTATTTCTTGAAATACGCTTTCCATGTCTACCTCAGTTTTCATTCCTTCTGGAACCCCTATTATTTGAATATTGTTTTGTTTTGTATTGTCCTAAACCTCCCGTAGGCTCTCCTCCTGCTTTTTAATATTTTTTTCTAGAAGCTGCTCTAATTGGGTATTTTTTCCATCTTGTCTTCTAGCTCACTGATGTGGTCCTCTGCTTCTTCTTGTCTAGTCTTGATGCTTTCTATTGAGTTCTTCATGGTAGTGATGTAATTTTTCATTTCTTCTTGGTTCTTCTTCATTTCCTCTTGGTTCTTCTTCATTTCTGTTTGGTTATTGACAAATTTCTCTTCCATTCTTTTTAGTTATCTTACGATCATTACTCTGAATTCTTTCTCTGGTAGGTTGCTTGCCTCTAACTCGTTTACTTCCTTTTCTGTTGATGCCTGCTTTCCTTTCATGTGCGGGCTATTTCTTTGTCTGCCTATGGTCTCTCTTTTCAGGATGTCCAGTTATGTGGTTTTCTTTCCCCTGCATTGATTTAAAGGCACAAAATACAACACTACCAGGTACAGCACAAAAAACACTGAACAGGAATGTATTTGTGAGATTAATAACCTCTAATAAATGTGATCACTAGAGAAAGGCAAATTAGGGGGTAGGGGAGAAAGAAGAAAGGTAAAAAAATAAAAAGAGGGATAAATAATGAGATAGAAAGAAAAAAAGTAGTTTTGAAATGAAATTGAGAAATAGGATAAAGAAAAGAGAGAGAGAGAGAGAGAGAGAGAGAGAGAGAGAGAGAGAAAGAGAGAGAGACAAGAAGCAGACTAAGAGAGAAAGGGGAAACAAACTAAATATATATATATATATATATATATATATATATATATATATATATATGGAGAAAATTCCCATAGAACAAACACCAATCCTAGCAAATGCCAGCAACAATACTTGGAAATTAATACAAACTACAGTAACTACAGTATCCACTATTATTAAGCAAGGCTACGATAAACAGAAGTAAAAAATAAACAAAAACAAAGCAATTAAAAAATACTAAGCAACAATAACAACAAAAGAATAAGCATATCAATCTCACTAAAAAGTGTAAAAATTCAATATAATCAACATTCATGCAAACAACAACAAAATATAGAAAGGAAAAACAGTTTGTTTGTTTTTTTAATAGTTAATATAGCAAAGAGAGTGGTATTTATGCTCTTGGAGCAGGGGGTTGAAAATTAGGTATATAAGTATGGTGAGAATTTTAGCAGAGGGTATACAGAAAGATTAGGGGAAAACTAAAGCCAGAAAGAGATAAGATAAACAGGAGATGAAAAGGGTAAAGGTTAGTAAGAGAATGATGGCATAAAGATCGAGTTGAGTTAGGGTTGAATGATGCTATAGTAGAGATTAAAATAGAATGAAGACTAATCCAAATGTAAAATAAAAAGAAATTAAAATGGTACTTAAAAAAATAAAGGAAACAAAAAATGCAAAATAGCAGTAGTAATAATGATGACTGAAATTAAAAAATGTAATAATTATAAAGGTAAAATCAAGTGAGGAAAAAAGAAAAAAATTAATTTCTTAAGTAAAAGATGTAAAAAATAAAATAAACTAAAAGATGTAAAAGATGAAAATAAAATAAAAAATAGAAAAATTAGCATAAAAATGTGAAGCAGTAATCATTCACTTCCTCTGTTATTCTATTTGGCACGCCTATTTCTTGGTCCAGACAGTATTGCAGTTCCCTGTGTTCCACTGCACCTCAGTTTTGTAAGCTAGTCCTATATTTTAATTAGGCTATTTCTTAGTTATTTGTGTCCATTTACTTTTGATTAATTAAAAGTAATTTAAAAAAATAAAAAAAGAAAGAAAGAAAGGTAAAAAAAGGCGGGGGCGGGATCAGTTTGTAATTCAGCCCCTAGCGGGCACTGTTTCTGGTTTAACTTCCCAGTCTTTTTGGCTGCTCTAGCCTTCTTTCTCTATGGCTCTATGTTTTGTCGAGGAAAGCTGCCTGGGTGCCGGCTCCCAGATTGACTCAGTTCCCACATTGTTTCTTCTAGCTCTGATCCCTGTTTCTCTGTTTCCAGGAAGGCAATTTCCCCCTTCAGTCTCCCAGGATATGCCAAACTGGGCAGTCCTTCCCTAGTACTCAGAAGCAAGGGGGTGAAGCGGATCAGGCGCAGGATGGGTCTGTGCCAAGGTGTCTAGATGTTCCGCATTTGACGGGACGGCCCTGATTCTTAACAATTTGTCCTGTGTCCCTTGGTGTTTTTAAAAAAGACCCGATTTGGGGGAAGATCATGCCAAACCCAGCACTGGGTCTTGCAGCACGCTATTCTCTCTGCAGCTGCTGTCTCTTTCAGCACAGCTCTGGGCACAGGGCTTCTAGGGGTGCAGGGCAGTCCAGGCATGGGGCTGCGTGGGGCTGGGGTCGCTCGTGGCTCAGGGCTGCTCATGGCATGGGGTCGCGAGGGGCCAGGGCCGCTTGTGGCGCAGGGCCACTGGGGCACGGAGCCAATGGGGGTGCAGAGTCCCTAGGGCGCGTCACGGTGACCCAGAACCCTCATGTTTTCCCCGCAAACTCTGACCTTTCCATGGGTGAATGAAGAACTCACTTGAATCCACGTGTTTGCGCTGATTGGGGCGTCACAGCTGCTCAATGGTTTCCTCTGCTGTGGGTTTTCCAGACCTCAGAGAAGGTCCTCTTTTCTTGGTAAGATGGCCGCAGCCTTCCCTCTGAGCCCATAACTCTGGGAGAGGTCTCTGCCACCGCAGTGCTGGCTGCTTGGTCAGGAAAATAATAAATCTGTATATATATATTTTAAAATATATTTTATTGATTTTTTTACAGAGAGGAAGAGAGTGGGATAGAGAGTTAGAATCATCGATCAGCTGCCTCCTGCACATCTCCCACTGGGGATGTGCCCTCAACCAAGGAACATGCCCTTGACTGGAATCAAACCTGGGACCTTTCAGTCCGCAGGTTGACACTCCATCCACTGAGCCAAACCGGTTTTGGGGTGTATTGTATATTTTTATTTTTTATTTTGAAATATGTTTAGTTATGTTTTTCTCAAGTTACTAAATAGGTCCTAGTGTACTGTTGTCAATAGAAATATTTTGAGCATATATGTAATTTGAAATTTTTAATAGCCACATTAAGATATAAACAGAAAACAATTACTTTAAATAATGTATTTTATTTAACTATTTCCAACATATTATAATTTCAAAATGTGGCATTAGCCAATTTTCAAATAATCAGTACTCATTTGTGGCTAGTGACTGCTGTTTTGAGTATGTAAATCCTAGTATATTAATCTAGCAGGCTGGTGACAGATTAAAGATTATTAATCTTATGTTTTCCATTATAAATATTCCTTTCAAAATAATTTTGAACTTCAATATTTTATTTCTTTTTAAATAAAATTAACAACATTTATATGTAAATTAACTTGAAATTATAGTGGAAATAACAAATTAAAAGTAAAAAATTATCTTTCCCCCACATCAGTTCCTTTCTCCTCAAAAAATTATTATTCAGTCTATGTATATATTTTCGGTAAAAAGTATACCTAGACACTTAATATGAAAATATATATTTAAAATTTGTACATTTATGAATTCATTTTTTCTTTCCTTTGTTTGAATTTTTGGGCTGACATTGGTTAATAAAACTATACATGTGTCAAGTGTACAACTCAATAAAATGTCATCTGCATACTGCATCATGTTTTCACTACCCAAAGTAAAGTTTTTTTCTGCCACCATCTGTCCCCCATTTACCCTCATCTACCTTTCTCACCCCCCTGTTCCCTCTAGCAATCACCATATTTTTGTTCTTAGCTATGTGTTTTCTTTTCTTCTTCTTAATCCCTCACCTTTTTCACCCAGCCCTACAGCACTTCTCCCCTATAACAGCTGTCAGTCTGTTACACGTATCTATGATTCTATAGGATATTTTGTTTGTTAGCATATTTTGTTCAGTAGATTCCACATGAAATAGATTCTATGCTGTGTCAAAAGATAAGACTTCTGCCCTAGCCAGTTTGGCTCAGTGGATGGAGTCCCAGGTTCAATTACAGTCAAGGGCACGTACCTTGGTTGTGGGCACATCCCCAGTGGGAGGTGTGCAGGAGGCAGCTGATGGATGTTTCTCTCTCATCGATGTTTATAACTCTCTATCCCTCTCTCTTCCTCTCTGTAAAAAAATCAATTATATATAATTATATATATATATATATATATATATATATATATAATTATATATATACTATATATATATATATATATATATATATATATATATATATATATGACTTCCTTTTATTAAATGGCTGAGTAGTATTCCAATGCACAAATGTAACACAGCTTTTTTTGTTTTTTAATTTTTAATCCATTTATCTATTGATGGGTAGTGAGGCTATTATAAATAATGCTGTAATGAACATAGGAAGTATATATTATTTCAAATCAGTGTTTATGATTTCTTCAGATGTATTCCTAGAAGTGGAATTGTGAGGTCCAAAAAGTTCCGTTTTTAATTTTTTGAGGAAACTCCAAACTTTTCCACAGTGGCTCCACCAGTTTGCATTCCCACCAGCAGAGCGGGAAGGTTCCCTTTTCTTCACATCTTCCACAACACTTGTTGCTTGTTGATTAATTGATGTTAGCCATTCTGGCAGATGTGAGGTGGTATTGCTTTGTGGTTTTCATTTGCATTTCCCTGATTAGATGAGCATCTTTTCATATGTCTAGTGGCCATTTGTATGTCCTCTTTAGAGAAGTGTTTATTCAGGTCCTTAGCTCAATTTTTTAATTGAGTTGTTTCTTGGTGTTGAGATTTATTTATTTATTTATTTATTTATTTATTTATTCAGGGAATGTGTCTTCATCCATCACTTCTTTCATTTTAAAAATAATATTTATATATGTATTTATTATATTTTTAAATAATTCTTTATTGTTAAAAGTATTACATATGTCCCCTTGATCCCTCATTGACCCCCTAAGCCTCTCTGCTATCCCACCTGCCCAAGGCCCTCAGCACCCTATTGTCTTTGTCCTTGGATTATGCATATATGTATTCAAGGTCATTGGTTGATAACCTCCCACCCACCCAACTTTACCCACCTTCTCTCTGATATTGAACACTCTGTTCCATGCTTCCATGTCTCTGGATGCACTGTGTTCATCAATTTATTTTGCTACTTATAATAGATTCCACAACTGAATGAGATCAAGTGATACTTATCTTTCTCTGACTGACTTATTTCACTTAGCATGAAACACTCCAGGTCCCTCCATGCTGTCACAAAGGGTAAGATATTCTTCTTTTTTACTGCTGCATAGTATTCCATGGTATAAATGTACCACAGCTCTTTTATCCACTCATCTACTGATGGGCAGTTGGGCTGTTTCCAGATCTTAGCTATTGTAAATTGTGTTGTTATGAACCTAGGGGTGCTTATATTCTTTCTGATTGGTGTTTCTATTTTCTTGGGACATATTCCTAAAAGTGTCAAATGGGAGTTCCACTTTTAATTTTTTTGAGGAAATGCCATACTGTTTTCCACAGTGGGTACACCAGTCTTCATTCTCCCCAGCAGTGCATGAGGGTTCCCATTTCTACATATCCTTCCCAGAACTTGTCATTTGTTGATTTGTTGATGATAGCCATTCTGACAAGTGTGTAGTGATACCTCATTGTCATTTTGATTTGCATATCTCAGAAAATTAGTGACTTTGATAATATTTTTCATATGCTTCTTGACTTTCTGTATGTCCTCTTTCAAAAAATATCTATTTAGGTCTTTTGCCCATTTTTTGATTGGATTGCTTATTTCCTTTTGTTAAGTTGTGTGAGTTCCCTGTAAATTTTGGAGTTTAAACCATTATAGGATGTAACATTGGTTCTCCCATGCTGTGGGCTTTCTTGTGGCTTTGTTGATGGTTTCTTTTGCTGTGCAAAAACATTTTATTTTTATGTAATCACATTTGTTTATTTTCTCCTTAGTTTCTAGTCCCATGAGATGTATCAGCAAAGATATTGCTACAACATATATCTTATATATTGGTGCCTTTGGATTCTTTTTAGATTTTTATGATTTCCTGTCTTACGTCGAAGTCTTTTATCCATTTTGACTTCATTTTTGTGTATGGTGTCAGTTGGTGGTTTAGTTTCTTTCTTTCTTCTTTTTTTTTTTTTTTTTTTTTTTTTTTTTTTGCATATATCTAACCAATTTTCCCAACACCATTTGTTGAAGAGATGGTCTTAACTGCACTGTATATTCTTGCCTCCTTTGTC